GGCATCCATGTGGAAAGACAGTCCTAGAGCCAAAGGCTTAGGCAGTCTGAGAAACACAGCCCATTTCCAAGAGATCACCTACACGGCATCCCTCCCCTTCTGGGAGAGGAGGGGTGTCCTGACCTGAGGATTACAGTTGGATGGGGGAGTGCGCTGAAAGACGTTGTTCTGATGTAGGTATGTCAAGGCATTACCTGTGAGTTTGTAGGTCCTGAATCTCCTTGCAACTCCCCCCGTTCCTATAAGAAAGCATTTTTCAGCCTCCCTTTTCCATGGCCGTGGGAATTTAAGCTGAGTTGCCTTCTTCCTCAGCCGCTCACAGAAGGATCCTGTCCTCCCAGTTCTCCAGATCCACCTACCTAAACGTTTTGCCATCCCCTGTGTGCCAGGCGGTGTGGGGGAGCTTCCAGTGATTGGCAGTGCATCCTCTGGAGGAGTTCAGGAAGATAAGTCATGTCAACTCATGACGTCCTTGCCCGGAGATCCTAGATGTGTCTGTAGATTGTCCACTCTGGAGGATGTCCCACAGCGAGCAAGAGCCAGCTCTTGAAGCAGTATCTGTGGCTAGCATTGCTGGCTGTTTGAGAGTGTGCTGAGCACCTTTCCCAGGATAACTTGATTCCTCTTTATGCTGCTGAGGGGTTGTTTACGTATGATGCTTTGTGGGTGGGATGTGATTTTGTTACTGCTCCACTGTTGGACACTGTTTGGGCACTCTGCCCATTGATGATTAACGATGTTTTGAGCTGAGGCTCTGAGGTGCTTTCAGGCATACTCCAGGTACCAGAAGTAAAAGAGATGTTATTATCATCAAGGTACTTCAGTGTAATATCAAACATAGTCAGAAGTGAATTAGTTAAAGCAGCGTGTACACATAAGTCCTTTTACGGTGGATGCTCAAGCAGCTGATACGGTGTAATTTAGAGCTCGATTTGTTAGACTTTTGTAACCCTCTCCTCTCCATGAGAAGGTGTTAATTTGGCAGTAGAAGCTGGAACAGCTGTCAGAGGGCAAACCTCTCCCACAAAGGCATTTTAGTGAAGCATGACTCTTCACACAGGTTAGGAAATCGTGTGCATTTGTTGATCTCAGCCAAAGCACATTTTAAGGTTAATTCTTACAGCTTGCACAACTAGTATAGGCTGGGATCTAATGGTTTCTTGGGCTTAATTGGACCTTGGAGTGAGCAAAAGCCTGTAGAAAATCTGCATTTATTGTTGGTCTTGGTTCTACCAAGATCAAACCCTTCTTTCTGCAGCACAGTGGTTGTCTTTTAGAAAAATTGCCTAGAGGGCAGCTGCTTCTTCTGTCCAACATCTCAGGTGCTCTTCACGTCCATGGAGAGGAAGCTCAAATTTGGATAGAGGAGGGGTTGAGAGGGTCACAAGGTGACCTCAATATGATTGCCTGAAGCTACCTGTAGCCTCAGTCTGACAAGCACAGCCAAAAACCTCCCTGTTTTCCTGAAACCAGTAGCAGTGGTGGCTGAGCAGTGTGTGGTGCTAAAGTGGCTGATGGGGAGACCACGAGCTGGTTCAGATGATGACCTCACCCATGAGGTTCAGATATGAAGAGCTGAAACGGCAGCTTCTGCTCAGCCCGTGCCAGGATGATGGGATGACTTGGGTGGCCGTGGTTTGGTGTTTTAGCTCTGACAAAAGCTGTGCTGGCTACATCTGAGCAGCAGTAACCTGTGGGGAGGAGGCTGAGAAGCTGGGAGCTGCTGGAGATGTGGGGAGATTGGGCCTGAAGCACGCTTGGTGTATGTCTGAAACTGTTTGCCAGGGATAGTACATTGTCTTGGTATGTCTGAAGCTAGTGACTTTGTTTTCCCAACATGTTTGAAGAAGTACCAAACACTAAAATGACCCGTAATTTCAAAGCACTGAAGGAAGGAGGCACTTTTAAAATCCTCACCTCTGTTTGAGTTGCCAAGCTTGCAACTTGCTGAGCTGAAATTCTGTGATTTGGACAGGGCAGAGATAGGAAATGGGTCAATGCTGAAGCTGAAAATTCACCTAAAATGTAAAACTTTGACATACTCCAGTATTAACAGTCTGTGTGCTGTTTTGGTCCCCTCAAGCTACTTTACTGCATGAGAAGGTTGAAAGGTGATTCATTCATAGTTTACAAGTACCTAAAAAGGGAGAAGTTTCTGGTTGCTAGATGAGATTCAAATTCACCAAAGAAAGGCAGAGAGATCTCTTGGCTGGAAGCCAAAGTTAGAGAAATTCAGGCTAGGAATAAGGGCTGCAGTTTAAACAATATGAATAAAAAACAGTGGAAGGTCTTTGGCTGGCACAAAGCAGACTCGTCAGCAGTTAACAGCTCTAAATGAGGATATCTGGTTTTTGGGGGTTTTGGGTTGGGTGTTTTTTTGTTGTTTTTTTTTTCTTTCCTAAAAGATGACAGAATTATGAAGAGAGAATTTCCAACCCTTCCAGGAGACCAAGGCTGGGCTTCCCTTTCGACTGCAGCAGCCTTTGCACGGCTCTGGATGCTGCGTCCCCAGAGCTTGGGGCTCTGTCTGCTCTTCCCATGCTGCTGTGCAAGCACCAGCCAGGCTCGTAGCGCAGCAGTAAGGCACAGATGTGCTGGGAGCACGGCTCAGTTTCTTTGTGCACAACGCTTTTCCCAGACACAGTCCAAAATATTTCTGGATTGGATTCTCCTTTCACTGCCCTGTCTGATTCAATGGGGAAACTGCAGTCCACGAAGCGTGGCTTGTGAGCCGAATGCACCGTCTTTTTCCCTCTTGTAGTAAGACATGTAATCAGGGGAGGAAATATGTTCTCTTCCCTTTTTCTGGGCAGGAGTCTGATGGAGGCGATGCGATGCAGGAAAGAGGCCCTGCCCTGTGTGAGCACCAGCTCTGTAACTGCCACGCTTGGCTTATGCCTCTTTGGACCCACCTATTTAGGAATGTCACGTAATTTTGTCACTGGTGGCCAAGAGCACAAGGTGCAAGAGGTGAATAGGTTTGGGTGAGGTATGATTCGTGACAGTGGGGTGGAACCAGGGAATAGAGATCTTGGGAGGTTTCTTGCTTGTCTTCTCATTCAGTGATCTCCAGGTTTCTCGGCTTTGTTCTGCTCTTGCCAGCATTTTCTTGGGAGAGGGACAAGGCTGACACATCTTTCTCCCAGGCCATGCTGCCTGATTCATAATTCTGCATACAACAAGCCTGGAAATGATGTGAAGCAGATGCACCAATGCCAAGGTCAGGACCTTCCCAGTATTTAAGGCATGTGTATGCTGTTGGCATGGTACAGGGTGACCTCAGTGTGCAATAGGAGCCAACCGACACACACATTCAGACAGAATAAATATTTGACAGAGACTATTTCTTTATTCCCCTAAATGACCTCTATAAAAAGCAAGGTCCTATTTACCTTCCCGGCTCTCCGTGCCCAGTGTTCTGAGAAGAGACAAGCTCTCTTCTCCATTCATTGACTTCCTCTCTTCTGGGTGATCCATTTCCAGGCAAACATCAGGTGTATTGGCTTCACAAAACCCAGGACACCTTGGATTTTCACAGAACTCCTGAAGTTTGGGGAAAGGTGAGATCATTTTTTGTTCAGAAGTCACTTTGGCTGTGCCATAGTGTGGTGACCTGGGAAGCAGTGAAGGACATCAGTGTGTGGCCTGAAGCAACGGTCCAAGCTGTGTTATAGGATCACTTTCACTGGAAATGGCCTTTAAATAAAACCAACCTATGATGACTTAGCTTGGTATGAAGAATGAGCAGAGACATATGAAGGTCTATAAAATAGAGGTTGCTCTAATGACACCCATCCAATTCTTCCTCCTTTACTTGCTCTTCCATATCCCAAGATCAGAACGCACTAGGCATTTAAAAGGTGGCTTGTTCATATTAGACAGAGGAAATACTTTATCTGTAACACATCTTAGACAAGTGGAAACCTGGTATTATTAAGGCAAGCTCAGCAACGTGCTGGTTTGTTGTGTTTTTTTTTTTTTAAGGTTAACGCTGAGAATGAAAAAGGGAGCTAGAAGAGTGCAGAGCTGTCAGTTGAAAGAAAAATGGCAAGCCTGCTAATCCTTCCTTATCAGGATGAATAGAAAGCCTGGCAGAGATTGATAAGAAGTGTCTCCCTCTCTGCTGATATTTCAGGTGCATGGTAAAATCACCTCTCTGAAACACCCAGGAAAGCTCATTTGAAGAGCCAGGCTTCAAACTGGAAGAGCTGCTGGCCAGCCTGACATTGCAGGTCTTAAGATTACTTCAAATAGCTTTAGTCTTTCACTTTTCTGAGCGCAACCTGAAGAATAACTCTTCCTCTAATTCTCATCCTTTACAAATGCAGGTTTCCATCGCAGCCTGTGTCAGTGGCTGTTGCTCTGCTGCCAGTGCTCTCGTGCTGAATGACCCTCTGTCTTAGCAGCAGGCGTGGGACATCTTGTGGCCCGCGCTGCTGGGGCACGGGGGAGTTGCTCCCCACGACCTGCCTCAGTTCCTTCTGCAGCGAAACACACCGGCTGTGGCTGGTGGGGGTGTGGGATTGGCAGCGTGCCTGTTGGCAGAGGTTGTGTAACTGTTGGGAATAATCAGCGGCAATAGCAGGATGAGGGCAAAAATAGTCTCTGAAGAGCTTGAGCTCCTGCATCCTTGGCTCTAGCCCGGTGAGAGAGCCTGGAGAACAGAGCAAAGCCCCACGCTAGTGGGAGACACGTGGGTCCTGTCTGCGTGGGTGAGGGGAGCAGTGGGGTTTGGCCACATGGAGCTGAGAAAGGAGCGAGACAGACCCAGGGCCTCCCTCTGTTCCCCACGAGGGTGTTTCTGACTCTGTAGTACTTCCCCGCTGGTGTGCCAGTCAAACCTGGGGGTCAAGCTGGCATGCAGCCTCTCTCCAGCCGTGACTGCAGCAGTGAGTGCTTTTCCCAGGGGAAGGGAGCTCGACGGGCTCGCATCGCTTGTGTGCAGCCTCTGGGAGAGGCAGGTTTCACATTGTCTGGTTTCTTTTTTTTTTTTTTTGTAGCTGTCCCTCCCAAACTGAAGAAACTGAAAAGCCCAAACGTTCATGTCGGTGAAAAGATTTCACTGAAATGCGAGGCGACTGCTGGAAACCCTCAGCCATCCTACAAATGGTTTAAAGATGGCAAAGAGCTGAAGAAGAGCAAGGACATCCGGATCAAGTATGGGAATGGGAAGTAAGTATGTTACGGGGCTGCTCTGCCTCTGATCACTAACGCTAAGTGTTTGGGTCCGGGGGGACTACCTGGCTAGAAGTGGTGCTGTGCTGTCCAAGTCGCTCCTGAGCAGTGCTGAGATGCTTCCTTGAGGTCATAGAGGCATGCACAGACCATTTGCCATGACCAGGAGACTGAGCAATATTCCCAGTTTACTCAGAGAGTAGCAGAGAGAGAGGAGCAAAGAGTGCACAGGATAAATGCTGGGTTTGTAGGTGGGGCTCTCCTTGGTTACTGTGCCATTGGGTTTCTGAGGTGGGTGTCCAGTGACCTGGGGAGATAAAAAAAACTGTAGACTGGCTGTTGGCAGCTTAGGTCACCAGGATTGAATTTTGGTTTGTAATGCACCTTGAGTATTGTGTTCAGTTTTGGTCACCTCAGTATAGGAGAGATACCGAGATGTTGGAGCGAGTGCAGAGGAGGGCAACAAAGCTGGTGAAGGGCCTGGAGAACAGACCTTATGAGGAGCGATTGAGGGAGCTGGGTCTGTTGAGTTTGACGAAGAGGAGGCTGAGGGGGGATCTCATCATGCTCTACAATTACTTGAAAGGACATTGTAGAGAGGTTGGTGCTGGTCTCTTCTCACAGGTAATTAGGGAAGAACCAGGGGGAATGGTTGCAAGTTGCAACAGGACAGGTTTAGGCTGGACATTAGGAAGAAATTCTTCACAGAAAGAGTGGTCAGACCCTGGAGCAGGCTGCCTAGGGAGGTGGTTGAGTCGCCATCCCTGGATGTGTTCAAGTGTCGTTTAGATGGGCTGTTGGGTGATATGGTTTAGGGGTGAACTTGTAGTGTAGAGTCAGCGGTTGGACTTGATGATCCCAAGGGTCTTTTTCAACCTGAATTGTTTTATGATTCTATGATTCTATGAAGGATTTGAATGCAGAAGCTGTCCAAACCTAGCAGTTGTCCCACCAGCCAACAATAGGCCTGCATAAATGTGGGAGGAATTGCTCTGTACTCTCCTCAGCTTAGGTGGACTCGAAAGCATCTAAGGCAACTGCAAGGACGCAAGAGCACATCATGATGCTGCCTGATTAGGGCCCGTAGTCACACACTGAGGACTTGCCTCATGCAAGACCTTGTGTTGCTGCACCCAGGACAAGCTACATCGTGACTGCCCCAAACTCCCTAAAACTCTTGGTCAGTCAGTGAGTGTCATTCCAGGGACCACCTCATTCAGGTGGTGCAGAAAGACCAGGAGAAATAGGTCCCAGTTCTCAGTAGAAATTGATTTAAATGGCCCCATGGTATTGGTATTTTCCAAGGCCAAATGTTTACATACGATGTATCTTAAAATTATTCCAAAATTGTGACTATGTTTACACTTGTATATTCTGGCCAAAGTCTGCTTCCACTGCCTGACCCCTTGGAAGACTTGAAACTAATTCTTTGCTAACATACGTTATGCCTGAGTGCGTGGAAAAACAGGTTGCCTCTTCTCGTTATGGACTTGACAGAGTATTAATTTTTGAAATTAGAAGTCGTTAACAAATCAGTTAGTGCTTGAGTGGGTCATTGTCACTTATTCTAATTTAAAATCATGGAATCATTTAGATTGGAAAAGACCTTTAAGGTCATTGAATCCAACTGTTAACCCAGTGGTGCCAGGCCCACCCCTAAACTATGTCCCCGAGCACTACGTCTACACATGATTTAATTTCAGTCTGTTGGTTTTGATTTCAAAGTCACACACAAAATGGTTGGCCTGCTTTGCAATAACTGTAGGAATTGTGTCTGTCTGGGGATGAGGCAGAGAGGTGGTTGGTGGAGGGCTTAGGCTAGAAACACAAGCAGGTGCAGGATAACTGGCTCCTGTCTAGCAGATGCTGTCTGCTCAGGAAGGGCGTCTGGGCTTGCAGGCAGCAGCAGTTGGGCAGAAGTGTGCCTGCCTCAGTATTTCTGTGGCCCTTTTCAGCCTCGGTTGTTTACCGATGGGTACTGGAGCTGGGATGCTGGGGAGGAATGCCTGGGGAGCTTGCTGGCCCACCCCGTACTGACACTGCGTCCCTGCGGGTGGGCAGCTTGTGGGACCCTGGGTTTGCTGGCGCTGGGGTCTCGCAGGGACGCTGGGGAGCTATTTGCCTCGGAGCTAGAGAGCGATCAGCCCCAGACCAAACACCCAGCAAAACTCTCTGGAGAGAGATCCTGGAGACGGCAAGAAGTGCCTCTTGCAGCATTTCCCTGCTGTGCTTCCAGAGACCATAGTCCTTCCTTGCCTCCTGGCACCCCATGTCCGGCACGAAGCTGTGGCAGGATGACGTCCCACCCACAGTGCTGTGGGGTCGGGGGGGGCCATGTGCTCCCTGGGTCAGAGACATAAACATATGAAAAAAGGTTGATCTTCTTTCCTCAGGACACTGCTGTCAAGTCATAATTCTGCATTTACCAGTTTCCATGGCAACACGTTGCCTTAAAGCCTGCCAGTGACAGGCCAAAGACATGTGCGTGCTGGAAGTGCTTCCTGCTGGCAAAATAAGACCAAAGATAAACATTTTAAAGAAAATTGAGCACCTGCCTCCTCCAGTGTCTGAGGCTCCCTCAGCAGCAAAGGTGTCCCCTGCTGATCTTTCCCCAGAATCACTTCACATCTCTCCTCCTGCTCCCTGCTGCCACTAAAACATGCCAATAAATGAGGAGAGTTCCCTGGTGGGGCCTGGCTGCAGAGACTAGGCTCAGGCAGCTCTTGAGCTGGGACAGTTTGAAGACCATAGTGCCTTGTTTGCCCCTTTTTTCAGCAGCCAGCAGTGCAGGAACACTTCTCTGAGTAAATCTGACTGAGTCTTCCTCAGGTTTCAAGCTCTCATCTCCACTGGCTTTGTTAAGTGTCAGTGGTTTAAAATGCCTTAAGAGCGTTGGACCTGCCTCCTTCTGATCTTTCCTGCATGCAATAAGCATTGAAAATTGCTCTGTGCATGCAGGCTGAGGATTAAGGGAGCCCTCATGACTTTGCATAACTCCATTAAGTAGCTGGTGAAGCTGAGTTTAGCAGAGGGACTGAAATCTGGTCATGGGATATGGGTGTACATCATTACTTCTAGCATGTTAGGAGGGTACTCCGGTGAAGGATAAGCATCCTGAACTGTAAAGCTCAGAAAGGAAGTCTTGCTCTATGATGATTAATTCAAGAATAATGGGGCTTATGTGTCTAGCTCCACTTAGAGATAACACTGGTCTCCCAATAATCCTCTGGTCTTCCTTTCAGGTCAGAGTAGAGTGGGATTGCCAAAAGGCTAGGAATAGAGCACTGAGGAGGGACTTTTATAGAAGAAGTACACAAGGCAAAATGCTTCATGGACTATTCAGCACCTGGCCAGGTGCACAGGATCATTTCTTTAAAACTTCGATCCAAAGACTTAATAGAGTTGTCTGCTGGAGCCCTGCCAGGATGTGGAGGTGTTGTCCATAGTGTTTCCATTGGCCCAGGGGCACAGTTCTGTGCTGGACTCTTTGTCTGCAACTCTGCAGCCCTTAGACAACCTATGGAGGATTAGGATGGGAGACAAGAATAACATGGTTGCCCTCAGTGACTTATTCCTCTACTGCTCTGTGCCTGGCTTTCCTCCGGCTGCCTTCAAAGAGCCTTGAGATTTCTGACTAGAAAGCATGACTGAATCCCTTTTTTTTTGTGATCAAGTTTTCATCTGATCCCACTGGCATTCCTAGGAGAGCTTTTTGGAAATAAGGGAAATATATGTTGTAAGGAGGAGAGGAGCAGTTAGCTATGTGTCAGCTCTTCAGCTTTTCCATCAATCATCTTCTCTCTTACTTTTTGAACTTGCCGGCAGAACTTCTGGTGCCATCAGGCAAAGGAGACAGGTTTTGGGTTTTTTTCAGTGGATATTTGCTGGAGGGAGGGGAACAATTCTGATTCCTCCTTTCTGAACTGCATGTTCCATCTGTAATTAGTAACAGGCTGGGACAAGCCCGTCTTGCGCAAAGAGGAAGCTTCTCTTTAAGGTAGAAGAAATCATTGGCTGGAAGTTCACTTCTGGCTTGATTTAAATAAAACACAGTTAGTGGGGAACCTAGAGAAATTACTTGGGAAGAATTACATGCAGGAGTGGAAGTACAGCAGAGTGAGCGGCTCTGCCTCGGAGCTGCCCAAGTGATACCGTTTTCTGCTGAGCTAGTCTTGAGATCTGATTGAGGCCACTGGCTTCCAAGAAGTTAAAGTTGGGTTTTGACTCTCTGACTTGTCCCAGCAAACGGTCAAACGCCAACTGTAGAGAAAGCAAAGGGAGTTTCTGTTTATGGAGGTGTAGATCACCTACCCCAGCTCAGGCTGTGTCAGCCCTGAGACATGTAGATCTTTGACTGGAGTCAGAGGGGGTCCTGTTAGTCTCCTCGCTGTGGCTGTCCTTACAGCCTCTTCCCTTTGTGTGCTCTTTTACCAGGGGAGATTGCTGGGGTGATGAAGGAGGCGTATCATTAGATTGGAGAGGGTTGGCAGTTCAGTTTGGGACAGGCTGACCATATGACGTCCCTTGGGAGTAGTGTCCTACTTTCAGTATCACCAGGAATCCCTATTGTTAGCCTGTAAGTGGAGCCAAGGGATACCCTCCTCTCCTGTTTCTGTACAGTAGTCCCTCAGGCGATACCAGTTGAGGCAGATTCATTGCTGGGGTCTTCCTTGTAGAGCTCCCTGCTGTAGATTATTCCCCACCCACAATGAATGGGGCTGTGGTCTTCCCTGTACAGCTCACTGCTCTGGAATGAAGGCAAAAAATAATAATAATGCCAAAGCAGCAGGGGAAAGAGAGTGCCAATAAAGATAAATGATTTCCTAATTAAGCCTGGAGACAAGGAGGGGCAAAGAGAACTGTTGAAGCCTTGTGGGAGCCAGAGTGAACCCGAGCAGGCTATACCACCACTCTGACAGGGGTCTTCAGGCTGACATTTTTAAACAAAGGAAAAAGCTCATTTGACAATGGCTCTTGCGAGAGCAATTCCAGATGCC